GAGGGAAGGAGAGAGAGCTTGGGCTCCTGTAGGAGGGAAGGAGAGAGCCGACTTACACCTGCATGCAGAGTGTGCTGGGACACATGGGCCCTCCCTCCCCACCACACACAAAAGAAATTTTATAAAGTTGTCTTTGCAGGCCAGTGATGTCACTTTTGAAATTAACACAGTAAAACTGAAAGCTCCTTATTTCAGAGAGTAGTAGTAGTTTCATATCTTCCTCAGATGGCCTCCAAAGAAGCTGCTGAGTAGACTCTGACTGGAGTGAGAGGCCGCACCTACTGCCAAGCCTTCGTCTAGATGTGACGAGTGTATGCTGACGTGTATACCCGCCAGCTGTCAGAATGTTTCAGAAACGTGCCATCGTCAGACTTCTTCCTAGCAAAACAAACTTTAGTCAGTGTCAGTAGAGCTCGTGGGTGAGCTACTGAACGGAAGACTTAGGTCTTCAGTGTTAGTCACTATTTCAGTACTGGGGACTGAGTACAGACCCCTACCAATGCCAGGCAGAGGCTCTCACCACTGAGCTACCTGCACCATCCCAGTATCTTTACTCTAAAGGTATTTTTTTTTAATGAAGCCAACTGCATCTGTCTGCAGTCAGGTCTTCCAGGGTGCTTCATTTCTGTGCCCTATCCTAGACCTTCTGAGTCCAGATTTACACAGTTGTAAGATTCCTGGGCAATCATTCCTTCTGCTTGAGCTTGAGAACCACTGTCTACAACCGAGGAAAGATCTGATAAAATAGTTGCCACTGAAGTCTGAGGAAGTCCCCCAGGTCGCCATGTCTTTCCTTTCCCTGCCCTGTGAGTCAGGTCTCACAGTGGGCACCCTTCCCAGTGCTGTCACAGGTTGGGTTGGCACAAAATCAAGTGAAACCCTGTCCGTGGTATGAGATGCCTTTATAGTTTAATTATGGTGGGGAAGGGCAGAGGACTGGCCGGGGCCCTGCCCATCTAAGCACTGCCCTGGCACTGGGCGCACCTCTGCCCTCCTCCCTGTAATCCAGCCTATGCCGTTTGGATCGCTTCTGTTTGCAGGGTTCCTCTCCCTGAGTGTTTTCACCCGGTGCCTTTGTTCACGCCTGGATTTCAGACCTAAATGCTGTTTCTTTAACTCCCACCAATCGGCCGTGGTCCCTTGTCCTGTAGCCTTCCTCTTTATGCCCTGTGCATTCATCAGTGCCTGTTTCTTGGGACCACGCCACCTGCTCTGTGTTTTCTGGAGGCACTTGCTGATTGATCAGTGTGGAGATGAGGGGCTCCATTAGTTTGTCATGTTTGTTTTCCTTAATTATTCTGTGACTTACGCCTATATAATATTTCTAGACTAATAACAGACTTTTTCTGAACTAGATTCTGACATTAAAGTACTTGAAGATGAGTTTGATGAGCTCATAGTGGATGTTGCAACAAAGCGGAAGCAGTACCCCAGAAGGATCCTTGAGAGTGTTATCAAGACCCTGAAAGCGCAGCATGCGAGTCTGGTGAGACCATTGTATTTAAATCCTTACACGGTATTTTACCACAGTAAAGAGCTAGTTTACTTATCTTTCATACAGTGCAGGCCGGTCTTGAACTCGTGATCTTCCAACCTCCACCTCTCACGGGCTGGGATCAGTCACCATGCCTATCACATGCCAGTCTTCTCAGATTTATTAACACTGGAACGAATGCAAATGCATCCTGGCAGATTAGACCTGAGTCATAATGCAGACGACACAGGTCCAGAGGCAGCGCAGCAGACCGGAGTCACACAGGAGATCCGCTGCTGTGCCATTGGCCACGGAGTGACCACATGCAGGCTTTAATCATGCCGTTGTCGTCTTTGCCTTTAGTTTTTTAAGTTAGCAGACTTGTAAGTGTGACTCTCCAGGAGTGTCTCCTTCAGTAATGGCTTTGGGCAATTAAAGGCCTGCACTTGATCTAAACACTAGAGTCCTGGGTGATAGGAAAAAGAAACCCTTGAGGATGTTCCCTTTCTCATACATCCGGCCTTTAAGAGAGCCCTTTCCATGCTGCAGGGAAAACGGGCAGTGCCTCCCTCTAACTTACCTCCCTGACTTCCCTAAAGAAAACCCTGCAACTAGTCAGGCTGAGGTGGAGGGACAGGACTGGAGAGCACTAGTGTGCCCTTGTCACGGAGTGACTAAGAAGGAGCATTTGCCCTTTCCTTTTGCCTGACTGTGGCATATCCAGCTGTTCCTGTGTGTCTCGGTGTGAAGAGTAAAGGGCTGCTGTGGTAGTTTAACCACTTTTAAAAAAGTTTCTGTGGAAATAGGAGTTGGGAGTTCCAAGTATTTGTCCTGAATGAACATCCACCACACTGTGGTCCTTACCCTGTATTTTAGATCTGCCTTTCCTGTTTCCTCTGCGCCATCTTCATCGTGCTGTTTCTTACTGTGTGCAGCAGATGGCAGTACATAAAAGATATTCAAACCTAAGGACATTTGCCCACAGAGCTCAGGATCTAAGAAGAGAAAAACCTTGAGGCCAGCACTGTTGACTGTGTATTTGCTCACACTAGCTGAAATAGATGCTTAGTTTTCTGAGGCATTACATGTCTAAGTTAAATGTTTTAATTTGTGCTGTGTTTAGAAGCAATATCACCCTGTTGTACATCCTCTGGACCTGAAATGCGATGCTGACCCAGGTAAGCCAGTGTGAGAACGTGTGAAGACGAAGCTCCCTCTGTGAGCTCCTCCCGTGTGTCCTCTCCGCCACAGTCAGTGCCTAGCACCTGTTTTGAGACTTGACAACAGTCTTCAACGTTCTGCACGTTTTCCCTCTCTAGTGTACGTGCTGGGGTCAGAGGATGCCGAGTGAGCAGGGCCACACAGCTGGGCTGCTCCTCCGGGCGGGCACTCGCTTTTCTTTGTTTTGCTGTAGCTTTCTTTGTTGTGTTTTGTTTTCGTGACTTGAGATTTTGCCTTTAATGTGCTCCACCTGATTCTGTACATTTCCTCTCATATTTATCTTCTTGGGTGCATTGGGTTCAGTAAGTCTTGATAAATGCAGCTAAGGCCACAGTTGGTGGGTCCCACTTTGGAAGCAGACCGTAGCTATCCCTGTAGAGCTTGCTGGTTTCCGAGCTTCCAGTCCCGGTCCTCTCCTGTCAGGCCCTGCCTTGGCTGCCGTCTGTTGTGTGAGTACAGTCTTCAGTCTCTTTTCTCTGGCTTCTGGTTTGGAAGTGGCATACTGTGGTTCTGTTCCTTTAATGTCTCCTGTGAACTTGTTACTGCTCTAGTGAAGCTGTCACTTTAGCCAGTCCTGTGAAACTCTTCCTGAGCAAGAAATAGACCTTTGTTCCCTCTGTCCACTGAGTAAACACACTGCCACCCCAGTTTTCTCTCTTTACTGTCAATGTTAGTTCTTCTGGTTAAATAGATACAATTCACCTGCTAAGACTTGTATTGTCCTGCTGAGACTAGAACATAGGCCATGTCCCTGCTAGGCAAGTGCTCACCACTGAGTGGGCTTTTTATTTGTTTTTCTTTTTTGAGGAAGGGCCCACTATGGAGCCGAGGCTGTCCTTGAACTCACAGTCCTGCTCCATGTCCCGAGTGCCGAGATTATAGGTATGAGCCACCGAGTCTTACTCAGTAGTTACTCTTGTGTACTTGGTGATTAACTAGATTTATAAATTAAAATTTCAAATTCTGAGAGAACTATAGTTTTAATTTTAAGCCTTCCTCTGGGTTTAGTTCATGCGTGTACTTCTGTAGGCGTCTGAGGTAAGGGCTGTGAGGGGCAGCTACGACTCTTTCATCTTTACTCTTGACTCTATTTGCTTTCATCATGTTGACTATATTGAACTTGTTATCCTTAGTCTTATTTCTTTAAAGATTTCTTAATTTATGTTTTACAATTATGTCTACGTGTGTGCGTATGTGACCATGAATGGAGGCCAGAGGAGGCCAGAGGGGGCACTGGACTCCTGGAGCTGTAGTTACAGGTGGCTGTGAGCTGCCCAGTGTGCATGCTGGGGCAGTGTGCATGCTGGGGCTTGAACTCGGGTGCAGTTGGAGCCTGTAACTGCTGAGCTCTCTCCAGGTCCCTGTCCTTGTTCTTTGTAAAGGGTGATTTTGGTTCTGACGGAGTTCTCACACCCCACAGCTCTGTGCAGCTCTGCTTGTATGCTGTTTCACCCCTGTAAACCTTTCCCACACAGTCCTCACTGTGACATGCTAGGCACCGTTCCAGGTCGTCTCAGGCAGGCACTGGGCCTGGGCCTTTCTTTCATACTTGGTGTGTGAAGCTACCTGCCTGATCCCACTGTCACCTCACTGGAGAGACTGTCCTTGTCAGACCTACCACTCACTGATATCACACCGTTTGGTCAGACTGGCCAAGGAGCGCCCAGGGCCTCCTGTCCCTGCCTCCCGGTGCTGGTGTTGCAGACAGGAGCTGCTGCGCTCAGCTCTTCCCTCGGCGCTGGGGTCCGAGTGCAGGCACTCATGCCTCCTCAGGGCTCACTTACCCGTGTGCCCTGTGAGTAAGGCCGGATTTCCTTCAGCTCGTGAGGATCGTCTCTGCAGTAAGCTCCTCCCTCTCACATTAGCTGTGCTGAGTATCTTCTGGGGTGTTATTTTCTTCACGTATTTAGAATTCATTTCTGAAAGCTCCCTGGACAATGACTTCTCTTGTGACCATTGCTCTGCATCTTCTCTCTCCCTCCTGCCTCCAGTGTGGGCCGCCTTCACCTAGTCAGGAGCAGCCCACGGCAAGGGCCGTACATACGTTGGCAGCAGAGACTGCACACTTGTGATATTGCAGATAGTGCCTCTGGCCACCAGTCAGTGGGAAGGCACATGGTACAGGCTGAGACTGAGGCCAAGGTGTTCCTTCTCCCCCTACACTTCTAGTGTGGCTTAAAGTACAAGTGTTGGTCGATGGCAGTTTTTTCCGCCTCTGTTTCAGAGAATGAAGGCTCATCTCAGACTTTGGTCTTAAGCAGGGAAGCTGATGATTCCACACCCTGGCCTCCTGAGGCATCTCGGCTCCTTTCGATTCCCAGGGAGTCAGCTTTGTAGCTACCATTCCCTAGTTGGAGTCTGCGTAAGGAAACAGTCCTCATCAGGTTGTGCTGGTTCACTGTGACTGAAGGGTCAGTCATTTGCTCCAGAGTGCAGTGCAGCCTCCTCGGTAACTCAAATAGCAGCGTGTAAGTACCACATTTGCTGGATGGGCAGCATGACACTAGGACAGTGTGTTCAGGTGAGAGGGCGCTTCTGTGGCAAGAGCAGATAGGAAGTTACGTGGTTACACTCAAGAGGAAGAACCCTAGAGCAGAGCAAGGCCCAAGCAGAGCTCCTGAGGAGTGACCTTGAGTCCACAGAACAAGAGAAGTTAGAAGTAAGATCAGACACTTGGCTGAGGCCAGAGAAAAAACTTAGGAGACTGACACCATGGTAGTGCACTTCATGAAGTGCCTGGGGTCACAGATGTGTGACCCGTTTCTGTGTATCGCAGGAATGCTCAGTTCCCTCCTCAGTCCTTAGAACCCAGCACAAGCCGGTGTCCCCTGTGCTTGTGTGTTCCTGCTCAGGAACTAGGTTGGAAGTACATGGGAAGCTCCCAGCTGGCGAATTTCTGCTGAGCTTGCAGGCTTTGGGGCTTCACGGTCCCTCCTTCAGTCAGTGCAGTGACCCAGAAGCAAAACTGGGCTTGTTGCCCAGGCTTTCGCTTCCACTTTTTCATTTCCCTCTGCTTTAGAGGCAGGCAACTAGGGAACGGGTGTTCTCAGGCTGCTGAACTTCCACGTTTTTAAGGGCAGCTCCCCCCACTCCCCACCTACTGATTATTTACCAACAAGGTAGGATGTGTCTCTCACTTGTCAGGAGCAACCTTAAATAGTCATAAGTGTGAAGTCCCCACAGTTCAGCTCTTCTCCCACCACTCACACTGAACAGCTGAGATAGCGGAGGTGTTGCAGGCTGTTCTGTAGTGCGCGCCTGAGGTCTGGCCTGGTCCTGCACGTTCAGGCAGCCTGTTGTTTTCTGGCAATGCTGTCTGACTTCACACATTGCTGAGCAGTCTGTGTGTAGATGACAACAGGTGGTTAGCATCTGTCAAGCATGTGTGTCTAGGCTATGGGACTTTTACTTTAAGGAGGATAAGAGAGTTTATTTTGAAGGTAAATATGACTGTGGCTAGGGAATACAGATTTAGGTTACTGCAAATTTCATGTTGCTATGTGGTAACAACTTCATGGCCTTTTATGGTAACAACAGAAAATCATAAACTGAGATAGACGCTTTCCAAGTGCATCAGTGGAAGCGGCAGCGGGTGGTTACAGAAAGGCCTCAGATGCTCTCTGATAGAAGACACAACGTTGTGATTGATAGAAACTGAGGTCTGCACATTCTAAAGGATTTATCTAATGGTCACAGAGATGTTAGGTCACTTTCTAAGGAGGACACACGGGGCTGGGAAGGGCAGGAAAGATGACTCAGATAATGAGGCTCTGACCTCAAAACATCTTACACCCTCCCCATTGTCCTCAGTGAGCTAGTCAGCCGTGCGGAGGCTCCTTGTGAGGTGTGCTTCTTTCAGGAACGTTTCGTTGGCATTGCTAAGAGTGGTACACATTGGTGTCATATAGATGTTCTTGTTGAGTGTGTGTAGGAGGAGCACAGAGAACGCTTCTAGGGGAGTCCATCCCTGACCTGCATGGCCTTATGGGTCTCCCATGAGCACCAACCTCCGAAGGCCGATCGATGCTCTTGTATCCGGAGTGCTTCTGTGCTCTTCTCAGTTCTAAAACGTGGCAGACTCACTTAGAACCATGGTGAGGAAGGCCACAAAAAGCTTATGGCTTTGGAGTTTCTTTAACAAGTATTTATGGCAGAAAATGTTTTAACATCTTAAAAATTTTTACTAATGTGGTTATCCTGTGCGTCTGCGCACATACATGTGCATGCTACAGCATGTGTGTGCAGGTCAGAAGACATCTTGGAGAAGCCAGTTCTCTCTCTCTACCACGTGGATTCCAGGAGTCAAACTCAGGTTGTCCGGATTGGCATCAAGTGCCTTTTCCTGCTCAACTATCTTGCTAGCTAAGAAAATAGTTTTTATGTATATACAGTATACCCACATGTTTAATGAGTTTTATTTAGCTTTGTGTTTTGTTTTTGAGACAGGATCTTGCTGTATAGTGCAGGATGACCTGGAATGTGTGGTCCTCTTGCCCTTGCTTTCTGGGTCCTGTGGTCACAGGTGTTTGTCACCTTGCTTGACTTTTAGAGATCATTTTTATGTACCTGTGTTGTCTTCCTCTTTTGTCTTCATTGTTTAAAAGTCTTTCTTTGGGTCTACTCCTAGAATTGTTGATAACTTGGGTTTGGTTTAGTTCTTTATTTTTGGTTTTGAGACACCATGTATCCCTGACTGGCCTGGACCTCACTGTGCAGAGCAGCCTGGTCTCACATGTAGAGAGCTCCACCTCTGCCTCCCCAGGGCTGGGATTAAAGGCAAGCACCCCCAAGCACCACAGATACAGTTTAGGCTTGAATGGGAATGGTTGAGCTTACCTAATTAAAAAAAGAAGAGGTATTGTAAAGTCATAGTTAGACATTTAATTTTAGAATGGTATCAGCGCATTTTTTATTTCAGGACGCTTTCATTATTCTGGAGCTGAGTTTTGCCTCAGTG